GGTCTTTGAGTGCTGAATGCCCTTGCGGCTCTTGCCAACGGACGTGCCACGGCGGTCCCGTGCGTAAGCTTCCGCGATCGAAGATCCTGCGGTCCTGCGGTCAACCGCGCTCGGACCCCGGCCCGGGCCACCTGCAACAGAGATTGCCTTTGAAGCTTAGGCCTCTATCAGCAAGGAGTCTTGTAACTCCAGGGCGCTTGATGAGACTGCCCACCACGTCGGGCTGATCGAACGTGTACGCAGTCATCATCACTTCTCCAGCGTTGGCCAAGATGTCCAGGATCCGAGCTTGGCTCGCTGTGTTCAAGAGTAGCTCAACGCGAGTCCGAATTAAGGGATGGCTCTGGAAGCAGCTCCGGAGTGGAGGCTTTGCTGTCCTCCAAGGCTAGCGGCTCCGCCCGATCCCCCCACATCTCCTTGGGCGGCGCTTCACGCAGTGGACTGGCCTGGCGATGTAAGAATGGTTCTTTCTCCCCGCGCGCTGATCCGTGAAGACGCGGAACCAGAGCCCGCGCGCCTTAGCCACAAGCCCACAGAGCGTCCACCCCAACTGGATTCGAGAAGGCCGGCTGGCTGTCCTAAAGCTGCCTTCCCGCGCGCGCTGGCCACCGAAGGCTTCTCTACCTTCGGAGGTTCCGCCGGCTCAGACAGAATTGCCAGCCGCTTCAGCTGCTCTGTAGCGGCGACGAAGACGACGGCGGCGACGACGACGACGATGACGACGACGACTACTACCATTATAGCTTCTACTCTGCTACTTCTACTTCTACTTCTACTTCCACTTCTACTTCTACTACTTCTACCTCTACTTTTACAAGTACCGCCGCAACTACTACGACTCCTACTACACTCCTACTACGTCAATGATGGCTACTACTACCGCCACTACTACTTGAACGTTATTCTTTGTACTACTACTGCTTCTACGAGTACTAGTACTGGTACTAGTTTTACAGAAAACGAAGTTATACGAGTGTGTTTTTTGTGCGTTTTTTGTTTTTTTAGAATACGTTGGTTGTTTTGAAGAACGTGTCTAGCAAAAATGTCGACTTGTAATCTGTCAGATCTCTCATCAAGCCTTCGCAAAAATACTAGCTCTCATGATTCCCACGCAGAAGTCCACCAACCATCATCTATCAGCAAGTCCATCTATCAGCAAGTCCATCAACCGTCATCTATCCTCTATGGGGGGGGGGCGAAAAAATAGAATAGAAAATTGGTTGTGCAATTCCGCGAGCAATTTCTTTTCCGAGCAATTTCTTTTCCGCTCCCCCCCCCTCGGGAGAAGCCCGGGCCCAAGCCCAGTTGCTGGAGATTGAGGACTCATTGAGATTGGAGGTCTTGGAGACCAGATTCCCCTCATAGAGGTGATGACCTGATGATGTATGATGTGATGTCCTGAACTTGCTGATAGATGATGGTTCATGGACTTCTGTGTGGGAATCATGAGAGCTAGTATTTTTGCAAAAGGTTGATGAGAGATCTGACAGATCAGAGCCATGCCAATTGGATCATTGCATCAGAACATGGAGAAGGAATGGGGGGTTCAGGCTCTATGTGGTGAGGGTGGATACCTATACTGTATGGTCTCAATGGTGGAGTGTGGAAGAGTGTCTTGATTTGATGGCTTAAGATATCCAATGAAAGAGAGAGATGGGCATATAGCTAGAGAGCATAGGAAAATGAAACCTCCAATGTGGATGACATGAGATGAGATGAGATGAGATGAAGCATTGGGTGCATCAAACAGCTGGCATTGGGCTTGTGGCTGTATATATATATATATATGCAATTTCATGTGGGATGAAAGGCGGCTGCGTAGATGCAACACCTGGGCATGAGAGATTGGACTTTGAGCAAATTGTATCGCTGTACTAGCCATTGAGCAAATGCTCTAGACAGCAGCGCAATATGGATGGTGCTTCGATTGGGTTTGTTTGGCCTCCAAGAGCACATGGGCACCATGTGAAAGGGAAACTTCCTGGGCAATCAATGATGGGGATAGGGTCCATGGAACGCCTGGTGCAAATGGGTTTGTGAATGATTAGGTGGCCCAATGGAAGATCAGAACCATTTGGGTACAACATTGGTTGATCCTCATGATTCATGCTATTGGTAGAGCATACTTTGTGCACAATCTATTGGTTTACTTTTGGGTGGGTGTTGGTGAGGTTCAATAAGGTTTTGAGCTTGGGTGGCGTCACGAGAAAGAATGTCCTGGTCAATGTTGGGTGAACATTGGGGGCATGCTGAGCATGCCAGGTTTGGTACAACCTGACTTCATGTATGTCTATGTGTGGGCAAGAAGGTTGGGGTGAAGAGAAGGTTCTTCATGAGCTTGGGAATGAGTAGCGGCCACGCAGCCAATTCAGACCCTCAGTGTATCTATGGCTGGATCGTTCCATGGGCTTCATAAGGTTCTTTGGAAGATTTCGTCGTAGATGGGGGGATATGGAGCATAGACCTGAAGAGCCATTGGGTGAGAGGAGTGGAGATGAGCAGGATTAGTCCAATCGAACTTGTGGGATAGGATGTGAACTTACAATGCTCGCAGAATGGTTCTCTATGACCCTGAGAATGAGGATGCGGCTTATTGTGGGTATGGGCATCAAGAAGGCCACGCAAAGGCCAATTTCAATCAGTCATCCAGGTGCAGTACTACTAAGCAAGTTTCTCAACTTTTGTTGGGCCTGGTGGGCACATTGTGTTTCAAGATAATGATCTTCTGTCCACTTCATAAAGAATGTGGAGGGAGAAGCCCATTTCATAAAGAATGTGGAGGGAGAAGCTCAAAAAGTGCTACCTTTGAGACAATGAGAATGCTTATGGGCAAGGAAGGGTAGAGTCGGATCCAGAGGTTGTTTTTAAAAAAGGAAAGTTGGTTTTGTTTGGGCAACAGGAGAACAAGAACATATCTAGACCGCAACCGTGGAAACTCTTTCAAAACATGACGAAATCATACGAAATCTAAGAAAAACCCCACAAAAACGCGTCCGAACCACACTCGCGTGACGACGACGACGACGACGACGACGACTACTACTACTACTACTACTACCAATTACAATGTCTATGTTTGCTAGACTGACCGAACAACCGAATGGTTGGCCGCCCACCCAGTCAACTAACTTTAGACGCAACGATGTACATCGCCCGCTGGCCTGCCGATCGCGGCAATACCGGCTGGCCGGCCGATAACCTACCAGCCAGCCGGCCTGCCGATCTTTAGCCGGCCGGCCGGTCGATTGCGTACTAGCCGGCCAGCTGGCCGACGGAGAAATAGCAGACCAGGTTGTTCGCGCAGTCATATTTTTTACAGCTTGGGAAGCGATTCGCAAACCATTTTGTATGGCAACTTCATTTTGGGGCTTGTAAACTGCTGAGGGTTGTGAGATGTTCTGAGGGTTCGATCGCCTTTGCATTTTTCAATGTCCCCACATGTCCATGTTCTTGAGGTGCCTCAGCCACGAAACGAAAGGCTCAGAAGGAGCCAACCACCTTTTCAGGGCCTTGGCTTCGAGCAAAAAGCTGGACGAGCCCTTTGCCCCTTTGCCCATTACACATTGCACAAGCATGTCCAAACCCAGTTGCTCTTTTCCATCTGTAGGCTTCCCAGCGATGTATGTCATCGAGGCCACGTGGAAATTTCCAGGGCGATCATGGTCAAATGACGTGTTGATGCTCTCTGGAGGTGCTGCGTCGCTAGCTGAGAGCAAGGGGCAGCGATACAGTCCCAAGCGCAGAGTCCTTGGCGGGAGGATCTTTCATGTCTGGTAGGGTTGTTGCACAGGCTCGGTGCGAATCGACGAACTCATATGAATTCAAAAGTCCACAAGACTCAAGAGCTGAGGCGCCGGAGATTGGACCCTCGTTTTAGTTGGATGAGATGCTCGGAGAGCGGAGGCCTAGCCAATGGTTCAACGCAAAGCTGTGATTGATATGATGTCTTGGCTCAAGATCACTTCACACACCATGTTTGTGGTCTCTTGCCGGAATAATTCAATCTTTTGATCATTGGAGTTCTTTGCTTCTGTCAAGCGCTTCCATTTGCCCCATGATCTCTTTTGTTCGGGCGCCGGATAGGTCGAAAAAAGACCGCTTGGAGAATGCAGTAAAGCTTTGCAATCGTTGCTGGAGTTGTGGGAGTTGGCTTGCTGCGCGAAAAGATTAATCTAGACTTGTGTGCAGTTTGTCAGCCTGAAGGAGCCGTCCCGTCAATATTGAACTGACGACATGATGAAAGCATTGACCTGTTTACCTAATTTGTGGGACCATACAATTGCTCAGCATGCTTGGTCATTATATACTCAATCAACCAATGAATGAATGAACAAACCAATGAATCAATCAACATCAATGGATCAACCAATCAACCTATCAATCAAAAGAAAGGTAACTCAATAATTGCACTCGCGCGATAGACGCACAAAAGCGTGGCCACATAGTGAGTGCCCCCAAATCTATCCTTTTCCTCGGAGGACTGCACCCTAGCCAAGGGGCTCATATCTGGGTGGGCACCAGGCAGAGGTAGCTACGGGCCTGCCCCCAAAAAGAACAAAACTGAAAACCAACCAGGAACCAACTGAGCTTTCACGTGAGCCCTGGAAACCCCAGATTAGAGCTCTGGACCACCTTCAAGTTGTAGATGCCGATCTACCAGTCCATGCGATCTTGGCGCAAACGGCAAAGAAACACTAGACGATACTTTCTTCAGATGACCTTTGAAGGACTGGAACTGGACTGTCTTCAACCTTTGGCTCAAGGGCGTTGTGATTGTGTTTCCTTCTTTTCATCCAGACCACGATAGGGATCGGATCCTGGATTGGTATGTCTGAATCTTGCCTGAGGTTTAAATGAACTAACAATACACGCCTTCCTAATAAAACTTAGCATGGTTGGTTGATAGGCATCTTGAAGCAAAGACAATATTGTTTGTGAGTTTCTGATTGTGCGACTTGATGGTAGTGTGAGATGTTTGATATAAACTCGCACATGACCTATATAATGTGAATATAAGAGTTCTTTCGCTAATGAATGAGTTTGCTGCCTCATCTTGACGGCAACCACATCTCAGCAAAGAGTGCGCTTCTCAGTTTTTGTTTCAAATGGTACGAAAAAGCTTGTTTTGCGAAGATCAGTTTCCTGGTCTTCACCCCAAAGAGCCAAGTCCTCATTTTCGATGTCGACTGCAAGTCATTGTTCTCTTGCGACCCGTTTGAGTCCTTTCAAACTTTTAACATCACTACGTGACGTATCTACTTGAATCCACCCCACTTACTCAAGTGGGTGAATGTCGATGTCAGATCTCCGAGCTTCCCTGGCGATGGCGTTCACGGGGGTTGCTCCGAGGCGCTCCCTTCGGCGCTTCCCGGCGTCCTTCGTCCGACTTCGGCGGCGGCTTTCCATGTCGCGCACCATCCAAGTGAAGGGCGATCACCCGCAGGGCCTGGCGCTCTGCACCCGGATTTATCTCATGCGACCCGGACGGCGAAGAAGTCACGAGACGATCCGTGGGATCCGTGGGAGCTGAGAAGATCGGATCGAACGATCCGTGGGAATCCTGGAGATGCAAAAAGGCTAAGACCCCAAGCAACACAGGTGTATATAGAACCAGAGAGTGACTTTCGAGTCTGTGGCAGCTCTGAATGTCTGTGACAAGAGTCTGTGACAAGAGTCTGTGACAAGAGTCTGTGGCGGATGTGGGTCATTTGCTTTCACCGAAAAGGCCAGGGCCCTTGTTCAGCATACATACTTGTTCCACCTCAGTCTGCATTTGGCCGCTTGGGACATGGGGGGTCGACGAGTCGACTTCTCCTGAAGTTGAGGCAGTCCATGGAGAAGGAGTTTGGCAAAGTCGCCTACTGCAAGAAGCCACCCACCACAGGCCCAAACGCCAAGGAGTTCTGTATGAGTCGTACTGGGTGGGGGGCCAGCGTTCAGTCAATGGGTGGACAAGGTGATGGGCATGCGTCTCAACATGAATGAACGACTTGTGAAAGCAGCGCTGCTGTTCAGCCATGTGGTCTAGCGAGAAAGCCATTTTTTGTTCTTCAAAGCTTCTTTGCTCGCGAGCACGTTGGTCCCATATTTTGGCTCCTGGCCAGGACATATTAACCTCAGTTGGTGAACCCAAGAGCCCCTCCACTGCTTGTGGTCTTAGTAAAATGGTCTCTTTCTTTTTCCTTTGTGCAGTTGTTCAATCGAGCTGGCGTCGCATTGTGCAGGTGATCCGGAGACCGATGTGGCGTTTGTCCAGTTTCAGAATCAAGAGGAGCGGCATTGGGCATTGCACAAGATGCACTTCTCACGGGATGTTGCCAGCGGTTGTACACAGGAAGAAGATGTTTTGAGCGGGGATCTTGCTTCAACTAACCAGTGAAATATCCATCAGCGTGCAGCTTCGCATCACCCTGGGTCAGCCCAACACCCCCCTAAACCATGGATACACCACTAGTGGTGCCGGAGAACTGATCAATCAACAGCATGGAACTTAAGGGTGCTGAAGGGCGAAAGCCAACTGCCTTGGCTTGCAGTTGAACTCAAAAGGCTTGGACGTCGTTGAACGGTTTGGTTTCGCTGATGCTGTGATCGGACTTGGTACCGACCTAGTGTTCGAAGCTTCTTTCGTGGTCCCCTTGGAGAGATGCTGTGGATGTGTTCCCCCATCGTTTTCTCAAACGGTTGAAGCTGCCAGGGGGTTCTTGTGCCCCTTCAAGGTGCAGGGTGCGCTCCCCCCCCCCCAAAAAGGCTTCTAAAACGACCTTCCCTCCAATGCGTGTCCCATTCTCTTCTTTCCCTACATAGTAAATATAGTAAGGGGTCTCTTTAAAGATGTCCTCACACCCCAAGTAAGCATATAGCCCATCCCTCCGGTCAGCTCTTCGTCGAACAGCGGCCGCCGAAGCGGCCGCCGAAGCGGCCGCCGACCGAACGAGGACGCGGAACGGGCCGTGACGGCCTTGCGCAAGGGCCTCACGCTGAGTACCACCTGGACGCTCGGATGATGAGCATGGTGAGGAATTTGGACATGCGCCACATATGTGTCACAGGGCATCACCTTCTTTGACCGCATTGGGTGCTATTTTTTAAATTCAAACAGTTTAAAACGACAAATACACCCAAGATCTCGCCCTGGGGTAGAAGGGTCAATTTCCCAAGCCGAACCCCCAGGCGGTCTTTGGGTGCACTTTTTTCGATGGACATGGGCCCATGTTGTGCCCCATGGCCCTTGTGTGAGGAGCGTCACGTTTTGGGAGTTTGGATGAGTCACCGTTTGGATCGACCACTTGGACCACCGGAGCGACCTGGTATTCGCCAGGTGAATACCCAAAGAACTTGATGTTTTACTTGCAAAAGAACTGTATCAAAGCGCGAGGAAAATCGCAGATTCAAAAGATCTCTATTTGAACCACAAGTGCTGCCGCACTCTTTCCGGAAGTAGAAACAGACCTTGTAGTGCGACCGTGCTGTACGCCTGATACATCGGATCGTGCGGTCCAAAATGATCGAATCATGGATTACGGGAACTTGGTGCATTTGTCTACGTCGTGTCGTGCGCACCAGAAAGCAATAGGGTGTTCGAGTATACAAAGCACCTCTCTGATCAGGGTTCAGCTCGGTCAGCTGGTGAAAGACGTCAGGTCCGCTCGGTCCAGCGAAGTACGGTGACGCACGGTGAACCCCACCGGTTGGTTCAGCTGAAGTAAAGCTTTTCCTCCAAGTCGGAAGCTGATCACCGCGGGTTCTGTTGGGCGCTATGACCGACGCAAGACTCGTCCTTGAAGAGTCCTCGAAGGATCTATGTCCAGGTTTTGTGATGTTTTTTTTGGAGAAGTCCAACACTCGTGGAAACTGGGAAGAATGGAACCCTTGGAAGACAACACTCAAGGAAATGGGCCAACTTTCTTCCTGTTTTTTCCTGTGAAGACAACTTTCTGAGTTTCCACCGTGAAGGGAACCCCCTTTTCTTTTGAAGCTGGTTTCCTTCCATGCTCAGTGAAGTAGGAGCATTGCCATGTTTGTCATCAAAGAGAGTGGGGTCGCCTTTTTTGTTTTTTTCTCGTCTGTCTCATGCTGGACATCACACTGCTCACACTGCTCAGGCAAGGCATCACCTTGGACATCAGAGGTGAGTCTCGGCCGCCACCGGACCGAGCTGGCAGGGTCTGCAAGGTCGAAATTGGAGCCGAACACCTCCGGGGTACTACCGAACACATCCGTTGTATTTCTCTTCCTTGCAAAATGGAAAGTTCCTAAGTAAGCCTTTTTCCTTGGAGAAAGTCCATTCAAATTCATTCAGACCCATCCAACGCCTCAGTCATTTTATCAGCCGTCCGGTCGCATCCGTCGCCCGAAACCGTGTCGGTGGTCGTACGCGTGGACCCGGTCCCGCCGAACCCACCCAGCTGAACCCAGCGAAACTCGGAGCCGTCTTGCCTCCGAGGATTGGAAGCCGGGGGAGTTTGGCAAAGGAAGCAAACCGAGCTCCAGCTTCGTCAAGTGGCAACCGGAGAACGTTGAGGCTCACTGGGAGGGAGAGGAGGGAGCTACACCTGGGAACACCTAACTCCTGGCAGGGGGACGAGTTGCTGTTAAGCGGACACAAGGACAACAAACAGAAGTCTTTCAGATCACCAGAAAGGAATTGGCAGTCAAAACATCAGGACCTCCAATGATGGATTTGATGCAACTGAAGAGTTCGAGAGCCGAAGATGACCAGGTTGAAGGAGATTGACCTGGCAAATTCTAGATGGCGCACTTCGATAGAAAGAACATGGACCCACGTACCGTATCATGCAATTCTTACCCTAAGAATCCTTCGACATCTCCATGGCAGGGGTTCTCAAAACCTCTCCAAAAGCCCTTTCCAACCCTAAACCCATTCGAGGCACAGATTCTTGTAGTAAACTTAAGTAAGTACAAGATCTTTTGTCAAAGTTTCGTTCTCACTTTCCGTGGCTTTCCAGTGCTGAGCTCCGCGCCGATCCGTGCCGCGTGGCCCGCGAGGATTCGCGGTCCTTTCTGACTCGAAATGCTTCGCGCTCGCGGACCGACAGGCGCCGCCATCGGGTCCCATCGGAAATGGATTGGGGCGGCTGGGGGGGATGGTGGTTTTGGGAGCCACCTCTGTTTTTTTCTTTGTTCCTCTGAGAGCCTTTTTGAGGCAGCACTGGAGGAGGCCTGAGGAAGACATTGAGGACACTTGGAAGTGTCCACCCGAAAGCCTTCGTGTGTGTGTGTGTGTGTGTGTGCGCATTGCATAAAAACCTCTTCATAGGAGGTTTCAAGAGGTCTCTTAAGCGGAGGGCGCATGGGACCGCCGCATTTTTTGTTTTTGCATTCTGAGTTGACGTCCGATGCCATGCGTTTTCTCTCTCCGATTTCTGATGAGGCGTGATGAAGAGCGACGGAACCAAAGAGATGATGGACGAAAAGGGGGCAATGGAGGGAGGGACATGAGGGAGGAAAAGCAGGAAAGACGCCAGGATGGGAGAGATTTCCGGGGTGACTTCCGGGATGAAAGGAGGAGAGACGAACGAACTGATCGGCAAGGTGAAAGGAGAGATGCCTGGCAAGGTGAAAGGAGAGTGGAGCAAGATGAAAGACGAGGTGAAAGGAGAGAAGAATACCGAGGAGGTGAAAGG